GAATTCTATCATTCCTTTAATGTTATTTTCATTGTAACACTGCATTGTGTTAGCATCTGGATTTTAAGAAGTTCTGAGACGCGTTGGTAGCTGTGTCACTGAATTCACTCACCTATTCGTGTAATGGAGGTCAGTCTTTTGGTGGGTAATTTTTTTGCAAATTACCACTAAAATGTTCTATAGCAATTTTTGCCTCAGAACTTCAGTGATCTGACATGTTTTTCTGTTCACTTAGTATAAGACCATAGTGATTTAAGTCAATCTTTTGCAGAAAGTTTCTTTGGCTTTGAGGTAAAAATACTTTCTTATTTATTTGATTTTTTTAGGCCTAATGTATGTTCTGAACAGGCTCTGGGCATCCACATTATCTTCATCCTTTGTCCTGCATGCTTTTATTTATAGGTGTTAGTACAATTCCATTAGTTTACTGCCAATCTCAAGCAGTAATGCTTGAAATCCTCATGTTGTGACCCTTGGTTTTAATACACAATTTAAAAAATGAAATAAAAATAACTCCCTTTGGTTTATATCCTTTTGTAATTTGAGCCTTTATGGATCAAACTTGCATGCTTTCGTTTGCGTTCTTTTTTTGTTGCTTTTAACTGAGGCATACTCTTATGCCTCTGAGATAAGTAGTCACATAAAAAGGACTAACAAATTATATTATTTGTTGAAATTCAGAAAGAATTATGTGTTTGAATTTCCCTTTCAGCATTAAAAAATTCTTAAAAAAAAAAGAAAAAAAGATTGCATCATGGAAATTATGTAAAATTTACATTTCCAAAAGATCGAATTTCCCTGTAGCTAAAATTTACCAGCCCAGGTTCTGCAGACATTTAATGAAATTTAATGAGATGGAGACTTGGCTACAGAAAGCCTTCAAGGACAGAAGCTATGGTAATTCTGGAAAAGTTGCCCAGGCAGGCAGGATAATATGGGGTATCTGGGTTCAACTTCTGGGTGATTTTGTGGTAGATATTTCATCCAGGAAACTTTATGCAACCGCCACTCCTTTCATCTGCAGTCCACAGTGTAAGGAGCAATTTCATGCTCTATGGTAAGCAGAAGAACAAAGAACACGGCTAAAATCATTGGTCTGACAAGTTTTAATTTGAAACAAGCAAGCAAAAACGAATGAGAGCAGTAAGGTCAAAGCTAAGAAAATGGAGTAAGGGGCCAAATTCTGCCACACCTTTGGTTTAAGCCTGGATTTTGCTGAAGTATGGCAAACCTCTGAAGGTCTTGGGAAGGGATTACAGTATTTGATTAAAGAAAGTAAATAATATAATGTTGCCACAAATTTCATCTTGAATAATTAAAACATAGATGATATTATTGCTGTACATTTTATGTATTAAAAACAAAAAATAACTGAATTAAATATTAAATCTTTCATATTTATCTTCATTGCCCAAAGTAGCAGTTATCTTGTGGTTTGCAGTGAACCTTGAGGAGTGTACTATGCCTAGATGGACCTCAAGGAAAAGTGTGATGCAGCCTGCGTTACATAGTAAGATATACCTACTGCTGGGTAGTAGAAAAGTGAAAGGTAGTGAACAAGTGAAACACAGGGCAGCTTGCCCTCTTTGTGTTGTTAACTTACAGTTACAAATACATTGGCAAGAGGAAGTGCAAACCTTGCTCTCCTGCACAGCTTTGACAGCTGAATCATAATCTTTCATGTGAATTGCAAACCTCTCTGTCCTTCACTGTAAATGGGAGTAAATTAAATCAGTTGCATCTAAGAAATAAAATAAAAACCCAGCGATTGTAATATAGCACTAGTAATGAGTAAAAAGGAGATTTTATCAAAGTTTATAATGGTAACTTTTATTTTGAAAGCAGGTATCATTTACATAAGTTGAAATACAATTTATATGTGTAATTAGTAATATTCACTGAGCCTACAAGTGCTTGGAGATTCTGTTAAGTATCTCAGCTCTCACTGATTATCTAAGCTACATTATATTATTTCCCTCTTTAAACTTCCATGCAATCTTTGCTCCCTATTTTCTGGCAATCAGCTGCCTCTCTTTGTTCGTCTGACTCTCAGCAGGACTCCTCTCTCTCTTTCAGTGTCTGTGAGATCTGAGTGCTTATCATGCTGCACCTAGGTATCCTGTTACCTCTCAAATTTCCTGCATAAAACTTCTGGAGGCTTATCTGGTGCTTTTGGATGTTTATTTGAAATTTATGGGTTTGTGATATTTCTCAAGTGAAATCTCCAGGAAAAAATGTCAAATACCACTCCAGCATTCTGCACCAACTTTATTAGAATCTGAGGCTAAGTTTTTAAGTTTAATTCTGCTTTGCAGTATCAAAGAGCAATTTGCAGAGAAGAGATGCTTACTTTGAAGCAGCTTTTCTTAATCAACTTGGAGGCTGTTCAGAACACTTCTTCATTTAGAGCCACAACACAAATCATCCAGTTCATGATAAGGCCGTGTAGCTGTGTATCTAGGAGTCTGCATCTTTAGAAATAGAAAGGGAAGTGTGCAGATGGATTTTGTATCAGCAGATCAACAAGAGAAAATCTGTGGAGTGAATTGGAAAGAAACTCCAATTTTTTTTTCATTGGAAATAAAATTCAATGCAAAATAGGCCAACTATTCCACTCATTCATGATTTTTCTTAATTCCAAAAAATTATTTGTCTCATTCTCAATATGTGAACGTCAGTTCCCCCAGACATCCAATCTTATTTGGAGCTAGAATTCTTACTGTGAAGATGGGTAAATCCAACACAAAAAATTAGTTGTTCCATTTTATGAACCATGGTGGTACCTTTCATATAACCCTTAGAGAGCTTCTTTGTTGACTTTCTTAACTTTTTACTTGTGAGACAGTGG